TATCTAAATAGAACATATTACCTGCAGCAGAATAATAAAAAATAGCTAGAAATAAAAGTATCTTTAATAATTAGCTTTAATAGATCTTTAGGATATAGTCCTTAACTACTAACTAGATTAAGCTAATCCTTCAGAACAACCTATAGTATAATACATGTTTTTAATATATTTTAACTTAATATAGAGAAGTAATATTTAATTAGATACTAATTTTAAGAGTACTTAGCTCAAGATTAGACTTTATAAGTTAAGGTCCTTTTAAATACTAACTTATTATCTTTCTAACTATTATTAGATCTAGCTGGTAGAATTTAAAAAATATTTCTATTTTATAAGCAAGGTCCTTAACAGGTTACAAAATCTACTTAATAAAGATAATTTTCTAAAGATCTTCACTCTTTCTATTAGAAGACTAGACTATAACTTATATATTCTATTCTTCCTAAATATCAGTGATTATTAGGATAATCAGGTTAAATATAAAGCTCTATTTCTACTCCTAACTAAGTATTAATTAAATAAGGCCCTATCTAAATTATTAAAACTAGTCTATATTAATAGATCTAATTTTAAAAACCATCAGCCTAAATTTATAGAAATATTAAAAAAGAAGAAGTATATTAAGATCTTTTATACTTTATAGAATAATTATAATTTAGAGTATCTAAGCTAGTAGATTAATTTTTAATTAAAGTTAAAAATTACTTTATACTAATTAGTATAAAGATTAGATTAGATAAAGCTTAATAAGAATAGAATAAAACCCCTGGTTCCAGTTCTTAAATATATTCTAATATAGATAGAGCCTACTTAGAAGTTTCCTAAGAGAGTAAACAGCTATTTAAAGGATTTTTAGTTTCTAAAGAAAGTTATATAGTTTATTTATACTAAGGATATAGATTTAGAGATTAGATACTAATTTATCCTAGACCTCCTTTCAGTAATTTTAGAGAAGATAATATAGTATAACTCTATAGTTAAAGAAGAGGTATAATAATTCTAACTAATATTAGAATCATCTAGCTAATTATAATACTAGCTTAAGCAGTTACCTAAAGACCTATTAAATAAAGAAAATAATAAAGAGTATTTATAACAGTTTAGCAAGACCTACTGGGTGAATATTATATATTTTATAATCTAGAGAAAAGTAAATAGTCTACAGAGAGATATAAAGTAATTTAATAACTATAATATATTAGTAGGTAAAGTTTCTAATAATAGTTAGAAATACTAATATTATAATAGCAAGATTAACTTATATCTATAGTAATATAGGGAAACGCTATTATTAATACTAACTTCTAAGTAAATATAATATTATATAAGACCCCTGCTTTAGATAACCTGTTTACTCAAGCTAAGTTTATAAATAAGAGAGATATATTTAGTACTCTTATTTATTATTATAAATTAAAATAAAGAATACTCCTAACTCTATAATAAAGCTATATTATATTACTTAAAAAGAATTCCCTTAGACTAAAGTATTTAATTATATCTATAGTTAATACTAACTCTCTTTCTAATAATAGTTAGAATTATTTATTAATCTTATTAGCAGCAAGAGTATAAGGCTAGTATTAAAGTTATTATAGAACTTAGAATAATACTATATAAGATTAGATATTCTCTAGAAACTAATAATTTTAATAAGAATCTTAGTATACTTAATATTCATAAAAATATTAAGCAGCCTGTAACTATTAAACAACCCAAGCCAGGTTTTATAGATACACAGCCACTAAAGTACCAGAGTCTAGAGGAGTAATATCTTAATAAGTTCAGATACATCTGGCAGGTAAGAATAAATATAATAGTAAAGAAGTCAGGTATATAAAAATATAAGTAGAGTAATTATAAGTTTCTAACTATAGTTAGAAATTACTAGAGTTACTAATAAGACTATAATAGATCCTACCCTTATAATTATATATATAATCTTAGAGATACTGATCCTAATTTCTATAATATAGACTAATAGAAATTATATAATACCCAAGATATATCTAGCCACTTTAAATAGAATAAAATAGAAGTATAATAAATATATTAATATAGATAATATAACTTAATTAGCTAATAGTACTATAAAATAGATCAAGCTAATAGATCTATATACTAAGTATAAGATCCTGATACCTACTAATAATATAGAAGATCTAGTAGAGGAGTCAGCCCCTGTAGACAAGAATAGGGTAGATAGGGAGGAGTCAGCTCCTGCAGATAAGGATAGAGCAGGTACTAAATAGTTAGATAGTAGTAGTGGTCTCCCTAATTAGTTCTAACTATAATTAGAACTAATTAGGTAAGGTTATATTATCAGATACTATCTCTAAGGGATTAACTTTTTATAGCCTTTTTATTAGTAGCTCTATTATTAACCCTATAATTTAGTAAAAGTCATGAGTACAGTCTTATATAGAAAATAGTATAATTAATACAATATTTAAGTTTAAACATTTTATTATATATATATATATAGTAGAAATTAAACTTATTAGACTTAAATACTATTATAAAAAGAATATATACACTTTTCTACTAACTAGGGGATTAAGAACTAATATTAAGTTATTATAATATATATATATATATTAAAGCTCGCCTGAATATAGATATATATTTCCATGCATGTTCTATAGTTACAGCCATAGTTTTAGTAACTTATTAACTAGGATTGATCATAACCTAAACCGGCTAGATCTAATTATATAAGTTACCTTACTTTTAAGAATTAATAATCTATATTTATTTTTAATTAGTATTTTTAATTCTAATTCTCTATTTTATCTATTATTCTATTTTATACATAACTATTCTTTAGCTGGTTATATTTTAAGTAATTTGCCTTTAGGGGCCGCTGTATCCAGAAATAGTGACGCCTAACCTGGAAATGCCGCCTGTTACTACCTAATCCCGCGCTGCTATAAAGGCCGCGAGCTCCTAGTACTATAATAATATTATTTAGTTTTTTTTCTTAATTTTACAGTAATCTTATCTCTTACTAGGGAGACTCTAGTAATATAACCCTTATTATACTATAATATTTTTAGGATTAGTTTTACTACTATTTATTAGAATAGAATTTCTAGTTTATCTTAAATATTTCTATCTTTTTATCTTCTTTATTTATTTACTATTTATTAACTAGTTAGTACCTCTTTAAATCTATTTATATAATTCCTAATTTATTAGCTAGATAGAATCTTAAATATTCTAGTATTCTTTACTAGCTAGATATACTTAAGCTAATTTATTTAAATAACTATTATTTATTTATTCTAATATCCCTGGAATAGCTATTTTACTAGCTACTATTAATTAAAGAGTATTTTCTAGATTATAGTAGTATCTTATATTCTATTTAACTAGACTTGCTAGGATCAGGATACCCTATCTATTATAGTAAAAATAAATTAATATTTCTATTTTTAGCTAGATAGTCCTCTAGTATCTAAAAATTAAATAATAATATAATTAGGTTTTATACAGGCTAACTTAATTTTAGACTAAGAAAAAAAAAAGAATAAATCCCTTCCAGAATATAGTACTAGAGATATATTACTCTACTCTAGAATAGTTTTATAATCTTTAAGTATTATATAAAACTAGCCTATAAGCTTTATAGTAAGCTCTATATTTTTTTAATTTTTCTAGATAATTTAAGGGCCCTGTAATCTTTAAGTACTTTCTATATATAGTAAAAACTATAGAAAAATATTTTTATTTAAGTAAATTTCTCTCTAGTTATTAGCCCTAGATTATTTATATATAACTAGTTACTTTCAGCTCGCCCGGCTAAGTATTTATATTATAAAAATTAAATACTGTTTTCTAGTATATTTTATACTAAAAAATTACTAAAAATAGTTATTTCTCAGGAGAATATAAGTATTATATTTATATATCTAGAGTAAGAGATTATCTAACTAGATAAGATCTAGTTAGCTCTATATTATATTTTAAAATAGGATTTATATCCCTATAATTACTTCTAGATTATTTTCTATTTTTATATAGATAGAATACTCTACTAGAATCTATCTTATTAGAGTATATTATTTCTTTATTATTTTAAAATATCTAGAAATACTAGTAGGCCTGGAGAGCTAAATTACCTTATTCTATAGTAATAATTCTTATTTTAAATTTAGTAATAGACTATTTATTATAAGTCTAGCTATAATATTATAGAATAATATAGATAGTAGAAGCCTGTCTAAATTAAATAGTAGATATATACCTAGATATTATAGTCTTATAAATCCTGGGTTCTATAATATAAAAGACTATCTATATAGAATCTATTTACTATTCTATTTTAACTTTTATCTAGCCCTATACTCACCTACCTGTATTTATAGTAGTAACTTAAAATAAGTATCTTTCTTTTTTATAATCTAAAGTTAAACCCTTCTTGTTACTCCTAAAAGATATATTTTAGTAAATAGTAATTAGTTTTACTTAGTATAGAATACTCTATATTTAACTTAGAGCTCTATTTCTAAGTAAATTATAGATCTATTTCTTTTATACCTCCTATCTAGTCTAGTATTTATAATTACTTTAACTTGTAATCTATAGAATATAGTATATTAAAATAGAATCTTAGTTATCTTAGAGATTTATTAATATTAGATACTATAGCTTATTCTATAGTAACTCTTAGAAGTATCTAACAGCTAAATAAAGATAATAGTAATTTTAATAATTATAATATAAATAATATTAAATTACTATACAGTCTTTTTCTTAGAACTAATCTAAGTACTAGTACTAGATCTCTAGAAGTTAGTAAATTAGTTCTATTCTTATCTTATTAAAATATATAGTCTCTTTTATTTAATAGTAGACTAGTACCTGTTAATAAAGATATATATATAACCTTACCTAATTTTTATCTTAATAAATAAATATCTATTTATAACTCTAAATAGCCTTTAGAGGCCCTTATATCTAGACCAGACTTAGCTATATACTATCTAAATCTTTCCCCTTTACCAATACCGCGTGACCATGAGTTTCCTATCGCGGATGACCATGCTACCGGCCACCAGCTTCCAGGCGAGGTTGTGGGCGTCCAAGATACCGTAATTCATGCCCTGACCGGCTTTGGGCTGGACCTGTTAGGTATTTCGCTTCGAGACGCACGGGGGGCTTACGCTGTGGGTGTGGCAGGCGTCGCCGCCAATGAAGATCCGGTTATACATGGAGTATTGCTGTGCGATGCCTTGACCGATGGGATAGACGGAGTGCCAGTCGACGCACTCCCATTCGACCTTGTACGGACTCAAGATATTGTTCGCTGTGCGCTGGATCGTTTGCTGAGAGCCAGACGCGGAGAGGACCTCGACCTCCTCGCGCGACATCTGGACGTACACACGCACGCGGTTGTTGCCATGGGGTATGACCATACAGGCACCACGGGGCGTACGAACGGTGCATTTGATCTGGATGATCAGTTACAGTTCTGACTGGAATGGATCGAAGCCCTACTTGGATATCGGGGAAATCGGTCTTCACCACCCCGTCAATCACTCCCCATACGTGAACTGTTGGATCTTTATAAACCATAGGAATACCGAGCATTGCACGCACCGCACTGCGTGCCCCATCCGCACCGAAGAGATACTTGGTCCGCACCGTCTCGGTGGCTGATCCATCAACATTGACCAGTTCTGCCTCAACGGGGTACTCAACGTCTGGTCCAAGGTATCTCACGCTGCGAATAACCCGTGATCGCTCGACCTGGACGCCCCGAGACCGCACATCATCCAAGAAAATGCGCTCGACACGGCCCTGGTGCAGGATGGTGGTGAAAGGGTACCGTGTGTCGACGTGATCGGGGTAGCTCTTGCTGGTGCCGGTACGCTGAATGCCCTTTCCATCGGTAGTTGTAGCCCAGAAGGCAACTTCTTGAATGAGACCCGGATAATACGCCCAGATAGGTCTCTTAAGGCCCATAGTGCTGAGCACGTCCAGGGTCCGCGGTTGGATACCACTTGCGCGGCCGGCGCGCGTTGGCTCCACGGCCTTGTCGATGTGCTTGATTTTGTAGGGCCCCAGGCGCGTCAAGCAGGCGGAGAGCATGAGGCCTACAGGGCCAGCACCGATAACGACGACGTCGTAGTTGTCGGGCATATTGGTTGCTCTGGACTAACTGGCTGGAGGGGGACTGGACGAGGAGAGACGACAGGGCCTGCCTTTTTTTACCCACCGAAAAATGGCACGAAACAGTTCCAACGCTTGTTGAGCCCCGATTAGATCCGATTGGACATGTCCAATGCAGCACAAGCTCCAATGGGATTTGCCCGTTTTGAACGAGCTTGACGCTGTGTGACCGAGATCTCTGGCTTGTCCTTGCTGTACCGGATGATACCCACCCTGCATGTTTCTGTATTACTATTTGCTGTTCTAGTGGATCTGGTAGCTGATGATGACTGGAATGAAGGGGTGGTTCTTCGGTATTTATTGTTCTCCATTCAGTATCGTTGCTGTAGTTAGGAGGCGTGGATTGGGCCTGGCGCATGGCATCAGAGACCAAGTACATCGGCCCAGTCACAGAGAGGAAGATATGAGCCTGAGCCTGCAATGAGTAATGATTGATGGAGAAAAGAGTGCGCTGGGTGGTTGTAGCGGTGTACAGACATATGTGGCCGGCGGCGAGACTTAGGGCAGGAACAACAAAGGAGGGTAGAACATTGGATATCTAAAGACCATATCAGACAGGGCCGAAGGAAAAGCGAGGAAGAGGGCTGCAAGGATCGAAGTCATTTTCTCGCAGCTGTGGAGAGGCCGTAGTCATGATTCGCCGCTGCAGGGATCGAGATGCACCGATATTTCAACATTGCATCTGAATGCTGACATCGAGATGCATGAAAGCAAAACCATGAGATTCGAGGTGTGGCTGGATACGCCATTATATGAAGATGCTTAGTTACGTCCTGGTGTGGATGTTGTTGCGCGTGGAATGTAAGCAGGAGAAGCAGGATCAAGATTCAAGAATGAGAACCGGACTGAGTGGGATAAAACAGCATTACCACAGGCAAAAGTACTGTAAGGGGGAGAGAATCGAGAGACGTCGAAGTAAGGGGCCACCAATATCTGACCAGCCAGATAGTGGACCCAATGCTGCAAGTCCAACCGTACCAACCAATGCATAATTCAACGCGTCATCCTTCGAAGAGTGACTGAATCTGGCCCAAGGAAACCGTGTCATGCAGTATATTCAGAATACTGGCGGTGGGAGACAACCACAGGGCTGACAGCGAATGTGCATATTCTCTGCCGGAATCAGGATCTTACATGTAAGCAGCATAACGAGGAGTGTAAGCAGAGCATCACAGCCCACATGGCGACTAGTGGTAAATGCATTGCCATCGGAATCAATACAGGCTCGGACATTGGTGGATTTGACCGACATCTCGGTATGAAGGAGGAAGACCAGTCCTGTAAGAGCAGGTATAAAGCCCGCCAGACAGGCCAGACCTGGACCGGTCTCGACAACCAGGATTGTCTTTTCAGCCTATTCAGTTTACCTATTCGGTAAGAATCATTCCATAATGGGCGACGCAGGAACTCCCCCCAACCGCAGGGTTATTCGCAGCATGAATCCCAACTATATCGGATTCGACTATATCGGCTTGTATGTCGGCAATGCGCGACAAACAGTATCTTATTTCGTCAACCACTACGGCTTCTCCGCCCTGGCATATCGTGGACCCGAGACAGGATCGTACGCGACCACGGCGTATGTCGTCGGCAACGGTACAGCGCGGTTTGTATTCACGGCGCCACTCAGCTCCCCGGACAGCTCGTGGGACGCGCGAGCCAGCGAGGATGAGCGCAAACTGTGCGCAGAGGTCCACGCGCACTTGACGAAGCATGGTGATGGTGTCAAGGACATTTCCTTCCAGGTGGACGACGTTCGCGGTGTCTGGGAGCATGCCGTCGCGAACGGCGCCGAGCCCGTTCGTGAGCCCGAGTTGCTGAAGAGCGACGACGGAGAAGTCTTCGTTGCTTCTATCCAGACGTTTGGCGACACCGTTCATACGTTCGTCAACCGGTCTGCGTACTCGGGGACATTCCTGCCGGGGTTCAAGGCGGTTGAGCGCAGCGACAGTCTGCAGGAGTATCTGCCCAAGATAGACATACTTGAGATCGACCACTGTGTTGGCAACCATCCCTGGGGTGGACTGGAAGGGGCTGTCAACTACTACGAGAAGGCACTCAACTTCCACCGGTTCTGGAATGTTGACGACAAGGAGATGTGCTCTGATTTCTCGGCCATGAACTCGGTGGTGGTGGCGTCGCCGAACGAGGTGATTAAGATGCCGATGAACGAGCCTGCAGAAGGGAAAAAGAAGTCGCAGATTGAAGAGTCAGTACTTCAAGCACATTGTTATATAGAGAGGCTGACCAGGCAGATTCTGCGACTACTACAACGGCGCCGGCTGCCAACACATCGCATTCCGCACCAACAACATCATCGAAGCAGTGGATAGCCTCCAGAAACGCGGAGTCGACTTTCTTTCCGTGCCAGACACTTATTACGCCGATGTGCGCAAGCGCCTGGAGCGCGTGGGCACGCAGGTTGCGGAGGACATCGATACGCTGCAGCGGTACAACATCCTGATCGACTTCGACGAGGGAGGCTATCTGCTGCAGATATTCACCAAGCACGTCGGCGACCGGCCAACAGTGCTCCTGGAAATCATCCAGCGCGAGAACTTTGACGGCTTTGGGGCTGGAAACTTCAAGAGTCTGTTCGAGGCGTTTGAGCGCGAGCAGGCGCTACGGGGGAACCTGTAGTAGATGCAGTTGAGATGGACTATGATAAAGCGAGCTGTAATTGGTGTCCCCGTAAGCCAGCAATCTTGGCTGTAATAACAGAATGATCAATTATGAGTCACGGTGATTCTGTATGATGCTGACGGGTTGCCTAATCCGGAACTGCAGTATATATAGCCCTAACAACTTGTCGAATATCAGAATACCAGACAGAACAGACAGAGCAGCCAGAACAGCCAACAAAGCTCAATGTGCGACGAAATAGACACCACTTACACCACAGCCACCTGCTCAACTGCAGCAATGGACCGATATACCACCAAGGAGGATCTCCTCAAGCTTGCTGTTATCAACCCAGAGCTTGAAGAGATAAGACGCCAAACATGTTTTTTTTTAAAAAAAAAAGATTATCTGATGTGAAGTTAGGTCCTTAAACACACCCCAGCCCTGTTAATAGGTATATCACTGCCTGTTAAGTAGCTGCATAAAACGGTGTTAGTAATTAAGAAGAAAGCATCCGAGTCCTGCCTAATATTTAACATGTAGGAGAGCTTCATGGATATCTCTATATATAATAGATATTAGAGCGAACTGTATATTATTAAACTAGTAAACTTAGACTCTATAAATCTTATAGTTATTCTTATTTTTAGGGGAGTATTTATAATAGATACTAATATCTAATATACTGCCTAGGCTTGTATAGTTATATATCTATATAGTACCACTGTGGTCTAGCTTTTATATTATAGAGTACTAGAGTATAAATTCTTAACTATCCTGAACAATATCTGGAATATAGTAAAGTAGATAACCGAGAATTAGTTAGTACTTGATATAGACCTGACTAAAGGGTTTATTATTAGGGAAGGATTAGCCAGTAAAAATCTCTTAATTATTATAGTATATTAGTCAGTAAAGAAGAGTCTGTTACTACTAATTACTAGAGTACTAGCTAGTATTCTAGTATATACTAGTAAAGAGATTATACCTGAGAAATATAAGGACCTGTAGATTTTTTATTAGTAGAATATAGAAGCCTCTAGAAATTTTTTATAGGACTTAAAAGGCCTTAGATATAAGATTCTTTATAAGTAGGACTTTCTATCTAAAGATTTTTTACTGTTTAATTTAACTGTACTGTTTTCTGCTATCCTATAGATATATATACAGGTTACTGGTCTAGACCCTCTATATAATAATAGTATTATATATGTAAAGGTATTAAGAGATAATAATATTAATATAAAGCTAGATACTTATCCTGGAATACCCTATGGCTATTTTAATCTATAGCCGCGGCTGAGGTAGTCAATAAAGTTACAGGAGAATACTATATAGTATTTTGAATGGCTTCTACATCACGAGGTTTCTAGGGAAAGGGTTGAAGAAGTGGTGGCTACAATTATATATTAGAATGTTTGGCAGTCCCTGTAGCCTTCATTGTACAGCTTGCTATACTTCTGCCAATGGTCCCCGTATCGGTGTCTGACTTATAGATATCACTGAGCTCCCTCGGGGACCTGGATGAGATGCAGTAGGACTAGACTGTCTAAAGACTCACTCTAGTGAATACTGCAGTGTACAAGTCAGAATACGTCAGCTCAAGGGTCACAAGCCATTGCTTGGAAATGCTTAGGAATGTTGGTCTAAACAGCTATATCCACCTTGAGCTTGATAACAATTCGGAGTACAACTTGCGACCCAACAGCCCTATTCTCGCAACAGTTGTCATACTCGTATCCTTAAGAGCAGAGTGACACTGACTGTGCTTGGCTTCTGTCTTAAAAGATTAGGGAGAGAGTGCAGGAAGGACATTCACAGTCAATGTGTTCTTTCACACCAACTGCCACATCTGACTCTTCTATGGCTATGCAGTCTCATGAATGGCTGGATTATAATAATTCACTAAGGGCACTGGGTGTAATATACATAATGCTGCCTTGGTCCCTTTGATATATGCACTGGCCAAGCTCTCATATAACCAACTTGCTCTTGGCCAGAGGAGATTCCTTTATTAAAAAGACTTGTCCCTTCTTTTTCTTGTATCAGAGGATGTGACTTTAGCGCGGAGTCACTTAAATATATTGATAGGGCATCGACTGCATTGTCCAGCACATAAAGCCGTTTGTCTGCTGGCTGTTCCTTTAAATTGACTGGACTAAATTTCTATATCAGTCGACACCATGAATCCCCCAAAGGGTAGTGTACCAAGTTTTGAACACCCTCTTCTAGAGATGGCTTCTATCCGGTCGTACTTTGAGCCTTTTGGTCCAGGGAGTGCTGGCTGTAATAGCTCTGGATCCAGCAAGAGACTAACTTGAATTCTGATGCTCTACAGTTCGTAAAGCATGCTTCTAACCCTAAAACACTTCGCTAATTAGTATACCAGGACATGGTCAGTCAGGCTAATTCTTTTACCATAAGATAACACGCCTAGTAGAAGCTTTATATAAAATCACTCTTAAGAGAGACGCGAGATACTGTTTAGAGTATATTAAGCTCTTCTATATTAATAGTTCTCTATTAACTAGCCAGGGTCTAGAGTCAGATATATAGACTTAGAAATAGAGTAACTTCAAGACTAAAATATATATCTAAAGACTTAATATCTTAATTAATAAAATTATAGATATTCTTAAAAAACATAGTCCCTTTAACAGGGTTATTAGATTCTTAACTGGTGCTATTATTATAGCTATAGTAATATCTCTACTAGAAGATAATTAGAGACCAAGACTGGATATAATATAGGTAAGTTGAATTCTAATCTACTACTAGGAATATTTTTAATAAGAAATAATATATAGCTATAATATTCTCCTTTCTAGTTTATAGTCTATTTTAGTAGCTTCATACTACAGTACCCTGATTATAGATTATTCTACTATCCCCGGATTAAAATACCAGTAATATACTTTATAGCTAAATATAATATAATAATACTAGAGACCCTTACTCAACAACTCACCACCACCTGCTTGTAGAGGAAAGTTTAAAAGTTCAAGAGAACCTACTATATCCCCTGGTAGTATAAAAAAGTTATAAACATCAGTAACTTTATCTTGCGACATCTGGGCTGGCCAGAGGACAAGACGGGTTATATTACTTGTAGTAGTGATGGGCGACGAGGATGCTGATCGGAGTTTTATATGCATGGTGTTGTCCCGACTTCTTTTTTCTTTCCTTATTCTTGTTCATTTTGCCGGTAGTCAACGTCTGTATACAGACAGAAGAGAGATAGCTGCTAGCTTGGTATTGGAATATTGTTGGATTGACAATGAAGTAGTATATCCAAAGTGTGTTCACCGTAGATGTAGAAGATATGTACTCCCCTAATAAGTGTATCAAAGTTCAACTTCTCCTTATCACAGCAATCTTACAAGGCCATCCACCACATCGCCGTGGCCAGGGTACAGACAGGGAAGACAACGGCCTCAAAAATGCCCATTAGGATGCCGTCAGTGACATACTTCCTGAAATTCGAAATATCAGCTTACTGACAAACCCGGTTGCACAGCAGCCATTTCCCCAATGTTCTGGGTGAGAGTGACTTGGAGAGCTGGAAACCAGGCATTGAATGGCCATGCGAGGCTACTGTCGTGATGCCCCGTAGTGCTTGATGCTGGGGATTCTTACTAGTATAGGACTGCCATTCTCGGTAAGCTGGTTTCATGGTATTCCTTTCAAGTGTTTAGTCATGGATAATATTGGCTATTAGTACAAGGAGCAAGAAGACTATAGTTTCAAGTAAATAGTATCAGAGAGCTCCTGGCTTTCACCACTATACCAGACTAACCCAGACTTGGGCTTAGAGTCCTTCTACTTCTACTTAGACTGAGATTACCCCCTATTTTCTAATAGTATTTAAATAAATTCTCTAAAGATAGGTATTATCTTAAACCTATAGCCTGAATTATTAGAGAGAATAACCAGCGACAAGCCTATTCCAGGTATAAAGTTAATAATATAATCTAAGTTATTAGTATTAGTAATCTAGTAGAGATAAGTATTAATTAGTAATTAGTCTATAAGCTTCAGGAAAACTTCCTTTAGTAATTATTAAATATACTATTTATTATTGCCTGGGAGAAACTATAATTCAGCTACTATAGAAAATAGTAAAAACAGCCCGTCCTTTAATAACAAGTAATTAGTATATATACCATTTATATAGTAGAACTTGAGCTTGTTAGTTTCCCTATCTAGTTTAAAGAAAAATACAAGATTATAGATATTAGTAATAGAGATATTTTATAGCTTATAAGCTTCCTTAGGCGCGAGCTGGAGATATATAATACCTTAATAATAGCTTATTATTTACTTTCTAATATTAGGAATAAGATTAGAGATATTAGCACCAAGAGCCAAGATAGTCTTGTCTATAAGATAAACTTAGCCTCCACGAGTTCTGGCCCTGTCACAGACAGTGCCAGTTCAAGCTAATATATATAGTAGAGACTCGACATTACCATTAGTAAGTCTAGTATAAAACTTAACACCTAAAGATACACAGGCTTTATAAAGAGCCTCTAATATATTCGTAGAATAACTATAGCCTGCAAGCTTATTATAGTAACCAGACCAGCCATCAACTAGACTACTAAATACAGGAATAATCTGCTTAACCTTAGCTTAACCATTAATCTTCTGAACCTGTCCATAGAAAGCAGGGTGCTGTTAGATAGATATAAAGTACTTATTAATCACTTATTTTATCTCGAGCGTTGCAGCATTAGATATGATGTTAAGGAAGCCCATCTAGTAATAATAGGGGGTATACAGCAGATCACTCTGCCATTTACGAATTGCTTCCTGTAATAATCAGATACGGTATATTACATAGAATCATATATTAAGAACAAACCAGGGCCAGATTAGTGTAGAAAGGGTCAGCATACTCGGCACGAATCACCTTGTTGAGATCGTTGGCAGCAGAAAAGCAACTGGGAACTTGGCTATCCTTATTAAGGACAGTAATATTTGAATATCCATAAGAGGCCAGGTGGTGGGCCGTCAAGACACCAAAGCAGCCTGCTCCGAGAATAAGTATGGAGGGAGACATTGAGTCATTTACTCGGTGGATCCTAGCACTCATGCTGCAAGATAAAGAGTTGGGGGCTGCAGCAGACATATTTAACTCTGAAGATGACGAGTACGAGTTGGAGACTGCATGAATCATGCACGCTGACTGCTCGCTCCGACCTGCTGTTCGGGCATAGAAGGGCATTGCGTGCCAGATGGGAACCAGACCCTCAAACCCTAAGTGAATACGCAACATAGTAAGCATCCCTGTCTATTTGTCGAAGATGCCCTGATGTAGGAATGTGACACTCGTTGCTACTTAGTATAAGGATATAACCATCTCCCATCTCAGTATTTACCATGTTATGGCTATTGGCCGAATCATCGTAAGCCAATCGTTCCCCAACAGGATTAATCATGCGCTGCTAGCAATGAGTGACTCATGGCCTTCTTTTATTCCACGTCAATCCCACAATATTTCACATTATCCATTTCCTTCGCCCACAATGTCTCTATCCACGACGGTTCTGGAGTCTGCCCCCCCACGAAGCAATTTCCCCATCAGGCCTCTCCATGTCCAGGACGAGGTCGAGGAGGATCGCAGGCCAAAGCACGCACCCCTAGTGATTTTCTGCATCTCGTGCATCACCTTCATAAGCTGCTACCTGGGCGGCCTGGTGACTGTCTCTGTGCCTCAGATCTCCAAGGACCTGCAGCTGGACCCGGGCATGGAACTATGGTACTCATCCTTAGCCCCCATGGCTGCTTAGGCTAACTGTACAGGCCCGTGTCCATGTATGCATTGGCTACCGGCTGCACGCTCCTCATCTTTGGCGCCGTCTCCGATGCAGTCGGCAGTAGGCCCGTCTTCCTGCTAGGCTGTTTCTTCCAGAGCGTCTTCTGCATGGCCTGTGGCCTCGCTGCCAGTGGCACCCAGCTGATCGTGTTCCGAGTCATCTCCGGCCTGGCAACCGCCATGTGTCTCCCAACTGCGGTGAGCATCATATCTGAGAACTTCTCGGCCGGTAGGCTGCGCAACCTCGCCTTCTCATTTATGGGAGGCGGCCAGCCCATCGGGTTTGGACTGGGAATTCTCATGGGAGGTGTCTGCGCTGACACGATCGGCTGGCGCTGGGGCTTCCATAGCGCCGCGATCGCCAACACAGTCGCCTTTCTTCTGTCGTGGTGGCAGCTGCCACAGGGCAGGCAAACCGGCATCAGGTGGAATCACCTCTTGTTTGGCATCGACTGGCTCGGTGCCATTGTGGTCAGCACGGCCCTGGCCCTCCTTTCTCTGGCACTGGCGTCTGTTCCCTCTGTTCCCTCGGCCTGCTATATACAACCTTCGCACTAGCTGACCGTCTCCAGAATTATAACTGGCGACATCGAAAACGCCCGCAAACCCTCTACAGTCGCCTATTTCAGCGTCTCGGGCGTTCTCTTCGTCTGCTTCGTGCTCTGGCAGGAGTACCAAGAACGGCACAATAAACCAACACTGATCCGTAACTCGCTCTGGAAGAACGCCTCCTTCACCTCCATCTGCATCAATGTCTTCCTCATCTGGGGTGCCTTCAATGGATTTGAACAGATAATCAACTTCTTCTTCCAGAACATACAAGAACTGTCTGTCATCCAGACTGCGATCCGCTTTATTCCCACTCCTGTCACAGGCCTCCTCAGCGCTCTTGTCACTGGAATGGTCCTGCATCGCGTCCGTGCCGATGGAATCATAAACATTACGACTGCCATTTCCACCGTTTCTTCGCTTATCATGGCCCTCGTACACCCATCCTGGAGCTACTGGCGCTGCGCCTTCATTGCCATCTGCCTCAACTCTATTGCTGCAGACTCTCTCTTCACCGTGTCCAACATCCTCATTGCCGATATGTTCCCGCCCGAGACACAGGGCCTGGCGGGGGGCGTCTTCAACACAATATCGCAAATTGGCAAGAGTTTCGGGCTGACCTTTGTCGAGTTGATCGCCAATGTTGTCAGCGATAACAAGGCCAGCGACTTGGAGAGACACCAGCCAGATGGGCTGATGGTGGGTTACCGGGCGTCGTTCTGGTTCTTGTTCGCGGCGAATATTATAAGCCTGGCAGTTGGGGCCATTGGGCTGCGAAAGGTCGGCAATATCGGGAAGAAGAAGTCTCAGTAGAGTTTAGTATACAAGAGGAAATAGTGCTGCTATATTATCAAGTACTGGCCGCTCGTCCACTTGTGCAGGGCCCAGACCAAAGTCCTGGGAAATGAATGAACTATTATTTAGAGCCATGATTGTCTTATCGGCCTGAACACTCCCTGCAGATCAACCGAACATTGCTCAAATCAGACCCTATGTAGGTGGGTACGACAGGGCTTAAGATTTGATAGACAGTCACTGCATCAACACAGCCTCCACAGGTCACAAACTCATGAAGCCACTGCTACATCGGCATTTGTTAATGTGGCGGTTGAGCCCTTGCAGTTGATGCATGACCCTGGCCGAGAAATCAAGGGGCTGGGATCACCGCAGAGACTGCAATGCAAGGGACCGAACCAAAGGGTTCATATTAACCTCTGTGACTGTCATTATCCTCGCTGAGAGTGCCCACTGGACAGGATCTGCAGCTGCGGTGGACAACAAAAGACCACGTCGCCAGCCGAATTGCGCGGGGTAAACCCATATGAAATGCGTATTTCCTAGTTCCAGACCTACTGCATTCAACCTTCAATTCTTCAGCAGACTGATACCAACGCCGTGGTTTGCAAGTGTCAAGAACCACACACGGTCGCCCATCCACCATGAAGGAGCCGATCGCCATCGTGGGCATGGCCTGCCGGTTCCCTGGAGACGTCACAGACACAAACAAGCTTTGGGAGCTCATGATGGAAGCTCGGAGCGTCCATTCGGAGGTACCTGCAGCTCGGTTCGATCAGAATGCTTTCTACCACCCGGAGAGTAAGAACAATGGGACGGTGAGAACCATGCTCATCTCTAATGTCCGCAGGAGTTTCTCTGACGCGTGTTGCAGTTCTATGCTAAAGAGGGCCATTTTCTTGCCGAAGATATATCCCGGTTCGATGCTGCATTTTTTAATATCAGTCCGGCCGAAGCAAAGGTGGAGTTGCTGCGTGTCCCCGTTCAAGTCGTGCGATGCTGACCAGATACTTCGGTACCTAGGGGATGGACCCCCAGTTGCGGATTCTTCTGGAAGTCTCTTACGAGGCCTTTGAAAACGGTATGCTCACCGGATGTATGTACATACATTCATGGAGGCGGAAAGCTAATCATGGACGTTAATAGCCGGGTATACCCTGGATCGATTAAGGGGAAGCGACACGTCTGTATACACAGCCCATTACAACAGGGACTACGAGAAGATGCTCCTCCGAGACCCCGAAAACCTCCAGTTCTATGCAGCCCTCGGAAATGGCGAAGCAATGTTTTCCAATAGTTTATCATATTTCTTTGACTTGAAGGGGCCCTCCTTTACTTTGGACACTGGGTGCAGTGGCAGCATGATTGCGCTGCACAATGCCTGCGCCAGTATCTGGGCTGGCGAAAGCCAGCAGTCTGTTGTGGCGGCCACAAATCTGATCCTAGATCCAGTAACGATGGTTGGGCCCAGCTTCATGCAGTTCTACTCGGACGATGGCCGCAGCTACTCCTCTGATTCACGAGCTTGTGGCTATGGGAGAGGAGAAGGAGCGGCGTGCTTGATATTGAAGCCGCTCTCAGATGCCTTGAGAGACGGCGACAATATAAGGTCCATTGTCCGAAGCTGCGTCGCAAACCAAGATGGGCGCACGCCAGGCATCACAATGCCAGATTTCGACGCGCAAAAGGCCCTTATTCAGAAAGCATATGCCGCGGCCGGAGTCGACCCGAGAGACACGGTGTATGTTGAAGCCCATGGCTCTGGGACTGCAGCGGGCGATCGGATCGAGAGCATGGCCCTGGGAGAGACTCTGGGGTCTCAACGCCCTCGGTTTGATCCTCTTGTGATGGGCTCTGTGAAAACGAATATCGGTCACCTCGAGAACGCCAGCGGCGTTGCTGCACTCGTCAAGGCCGTACTCGTCATTGAAAACGGCTGTATCCCCCCCCAGCATGAATTTTGAAAGGCCGAGTCCCAACATCGACTTCAACCGATGGAACCTGACGGTGGCCACCGAAGCGCAGCCTCTGAAATACACCGAGTCCCGGCAGGTTTCGGTGAGCAGCTTTGGCTACGGAGGCACAAACTGCCATATTATCCTGGACAAAGCTCCACCAGTTGCACCTCAAAGAAGCCCTAAAACCCCAAGCGAATCGCCGTGTTACCTATTCCCTTTGTCTGCACGATCAAAAACCTCCAGCAGCCTCATGGTTGCTCAGCTCCAAAAATATGTCGATAGAAAAGGCCATTCGTCCGAGTGCGATTTCCTGAGCTCGCTGGCCCATACCCTCTGCCACGGAAGATCGCGATTCCAATGGAGAGGGGCGATTGTCGCAGAGAGCATATCTGAGTTACAAGGCTGCTCTACGAGCAGTCTGCCTTTCAGTCACTCTTCAACAGCATCTCGCCTAGGCTTCGTCTTTACAAGGCAGGGATCACAATGGTATGGAATGGGCAAAGAACTGCTCCAAACAAGCACGGTGTTTAGAGAATCTATCCTCGCTGCTGAGCGTCACCTTGTTCGTCTCGGGGCACAATGGAAACTGACGGAGGAGCTGCTCAATACCCCCGAGATGTCTTCATTAGACAAGGCACAAGTCGCACAGCCAGCGTGCACAGCGATCCAGCTGGGTCTCGTCAATCTCCTGGCCGCTTGGCACATCGAACCCTACGCTGTTGTCGGACATTCTAGCGGCGAAATTGCGGCCGCTTATGCTTGCAGCGCGATTTCGTTTAGTGATGCTTTGCATATCGCATACTCTCGAGGAGTATGTACTGCAGGGCTCGCGGGAGACAGAGGGATACGCGGTGCGATGCTGGCCGCAGGTCTCAGCCGGACAGCAGCAGAAGGATACCTCAAGCAGGTTGACCAGCGATACGGGTCGGCGAAGGTTGCTTGCGTCAACAGCCCCCAGTCAGTTACTCTGTCGGGGGACGAAAACGCCATCGTGCAGCTAAACAAGCTCCTTCAATGCGACGAGGTGTTTGTCCGACGGTTACCGGTTGATGTTGCATACCACTCCCACCATATGGCTCGAGTCGCTCACGACTATCGGAATACCCTGCAAAGCATTGGCCGACCAGACACCTCTGCGTCTGCCTTGATGTTCTCCACCGTTGAGGGTCGTCGGGTTGATGCAGGATCTCTGGATGCGGACTACTGGGTGAAGAACTTGGTATCGCCCGTGCTGTTTTCTCAGGCATTCAAACAGTTCTGTGGCGCACTCTCAAACGGCACAGACCAGAGTATGATCATTGAGATCGGCCCTCACGCCGGCTTGAAAGGGCCAATCAGGCAAAACCTGGCGGCGCTGCAGCCTGCGTACACGAGCTTTGCTTATAGTTCTGCGTTGTCCAGAAACAGGTCAGCCAGGAAGACAACTCTTGAACTAGCAGGTGAGCTCTTTGCCCACGGCTTTGACCTTGATCTCGATATGGTCAACTTCGACCGGTCCCCAACCAGACTGACAGCCGTCGCCGATTTACCACCATATCCCTGGGACCACTCCGTGTCATATTGGCATGAGAGCCGCCTAAGCCGTAACTACAGAAGCCGGCGTGATCCTCCACATGATCTGCTCGGGGTCGTGGCCCCTGACTCGAGCATCCTGGAGCCTCGGTGGAGGAAGTATATCCGGCTGGCTGAAATGCCTTGGCTGGCGGGCCATAGAGTCCAGGGCCGCATAATATTTCCAGGAGCCGGTTACCTTTGCATGGCATTCGAAGCTGGGGCATGGCTTTCCGCGCAGACTGGACTCAAGATCGATGGCATTGCGTCGATCAAGCTTTCGAACATTTCATACATCCAGCCGCTCATTGTTCCGGAGTCTGACGACGCGGTAGAAACAATCTTTACCATACGGCCATCTGGAGCCTATCGAGGCAGGGACCTGGCTCATCGTCACGAATTCTTGGTTTATTCATGTCCAGACGGCACCAATGTTGTGGACCACTGCCGTGGCTTTCTCGCTATATCGCCGAAAGGGTCGAATTCGGGGCCTCCGCCCTCGAGTTGGGAGATCGAAGAACGGGATAGTATGTTGTCTGACATTCAGGTCAGCAAGCTGTATGACGACCTGAGGAGTCAGGGAATCGATTACTCTGGATGCTTTGCCGGTCTCTCCACGGTCCGTGCCGGGCTTGGGTCATCTCAAACTGCGGTTGATGCCTCGAAGGCACAACAGTATCCGATCAGCCGGCGAGGAATAGAATGCCCCCATCCGGCCACGCTGGATGCTTGTCTCCAGAGTGCATTCCCTGCGATCATGGCGGATCCTACCTGGGGAGGCCCATTCCTCCTGTCCTCGGTGGGGGAGATCACCCTATGGTCTCCGTCCTCAAGCGCGCAACCAACTACGCAACAAACATATAACGTGAATTGTCGGGCATCAACAAGCGCGCAGGCCTCCTCCCACAGCAGCTGCTTTGCTATATCTCCAAGCAACCAGGATGTACAGAGCATCTCGATTTCGTCCCTCATCTTCACTAAAATACAGGCGAGAGTCCAGTCGACGTCCTCGCAGACTGGCACCACTTGCCAGAAAATCGTCAAGTATGTGGACCCTCTGTTCCTCAGCACCCCCGAGATTGAGGATATCTGCTATGCTACAACAGACGACGCCTCGGTTACTGGCCAACTCTCACGATATGCTCGCGCCTGTCGCATCCTGGCCAAAGCTTCTCTGGAGCAGCTCCACGAAAGGGATGTGGCGAAACTAGAACCTTACCAGGTCGAGTACATGGGGTGGCTACGCAAAATAGCAGCTCAGAGAATTTGCAAAGAGTCTGAAGACCAAGACAATGTCACCCAATTGCTCGAAACTGTGGAAAAGGATGGATGTGTGGGCAAGATGATTTGCCGGATTGGCAAACGCCTTCCACAGATTCTGAAGGGAGAACAGCAGGCGATTTCGTTGATGACAGAAGGCGGTTTGCTGCATACACTCTACAGTGAAGATAAAGGAATCCAGCGATGTGCGATACAAGCAGGGCAGTATGCTGGCCTCCTGGGCCTGAAGAAACCGAATATTCGCGTTTTGGAAATCGGTGCTGGAACCGGGGCCGCCACATTGCCCATTCTTGAAGCCCTCACCACCGCGAAGAAAAGCCTTTTCCACCATTACGATTTCACTGATATCTCTGGCGGCTTCTTCCCAAAAGCGACGGAGAAGTTTGCCCAGTGGAGACAGCGCCTGGCCTTCCAAACCCTCAATATCGAGAAGCATCCTGGGGACCAGGGGTTTGAGCTCGGAATGTACGACCTGGTCATCGCTGCCAACGTCCTTCATGCGACATCTAACATCGATCGCACGATGAGACACGTGCGGAGCCTCCTGCGGCCAGGCGGCAGTCTTTTGCTGATTGAAAGTACTCAACCCACAGCTTATCGGTCATTCATCTTCGGCACACTCCCTGGCTGGTGGCTGGGATCGCTGGAGCGACAAAGAGACCACCGTCAAGACCACCCGCTCTTGACGGTGGATGAATGGGATTCACTATTAATGGATACCGGATTTGAAGGAGTGCAGGCATGCACACACGCTTACAAGACACCGGGTGAGCATATAGACAGCTTCATGGTCTCCCACGCTCTGCCGGACGAGCAAGATCCGCCTCTCTTGGTACTTTCCGAACAACAGTTGCACGGGATTAAGGGAGACTTGGGACTGGAATTGGCCGAGAAGATGGCACACGCTCTCTCAATTCCGACAGGCTCCATTGTCCAGCTGGGCGATCCCCGAGTCCATGGCAGGACGTGCATCTGCCTGGCGGGCCTGGAAGAGCAGATCCTGGCTGCATGCAGCGAGGCGGATTTCACTGGCATTCAGAACACCTTCAAGCGTGCAAAGGAGATCTTCTGGGTCACGCAAGGTGCCATGGATAGCTGCACCCACCCGGCGTCCGCCCTGGCTGTGGGTTTACTGCGTGTTCTCCGGCGCGAGAACCAAGGAGTGCGTGCTGTGAGTGTCGACCTCGACCCTGGACCTGGCCACCGGACTCTCCACGAACTGGCCGCCTAGCTCCGGCACTTCATCAGCCGTCAGCACTTCTCACCGGAGAACAATGAATGGCTCGAGCGTGATGGCCGGTGGCTTGTGCCTCGCATCATCGAGGACGACGCCACGACCAATGTCCTGTGCGGCGACACTGCATCCTCTGTCACTCTGCGAAACCAGTCATTCAAAGAGGCGAACCGTTCATTGCGTCTCGTTGCCAGTCCTTTCAGAACAATCCAAGACATGCACTTTGCGGAGAACACTTCTTTCAATTGTCCCCTCGCTGATGACGAGGTTGAAATCGTCGTCAAGGCCACCGGGGTCAATTTCCGTGACCCGCTCATTGTGCTTGGGGCCATGGATGCACCACTAGTAGGAGAAAGTAGCGGGTTCGTTGTCGATATTGGAGCCCTGTGTCGATCTCGTTTCCAGCGCGGTGACCGAGTATACACCTGTTATGTCGCTGCACATGCAAACAGAGTCAGAGCTCAAGGGTCCTTCACGCATTTGCTTCCTGAGGCCCTCTCCTTTGAGGAAGCTGCCGCGATACCCATCATTTATGGGACGGCGTACCACTCCCTGGTCGAGGTTGCCCGTCTGAAGCCAGGGGAGTCTGTGCTGGTTCATGGAGGTGCCGGTGGTGTCGGGGGCGCTGCAATCACTCTGGCCCAGCACATTGGAGCCGTGGTCTTCACAACAGTCGGAACAGAAGCAAAGAGGCAGCATCTGATTGACCGTTATGGGATTCCTGCCAGCCATATATTCTCCAGCCGGAATACCGAGTTTGTCCATGGGATTCACAGGGTCACCAAGAATGCAGGCGTGGATGTAGTCTTGAATTCCTTGACAGGCCCATTGCTCCAGGCCTCGATGGATGTCCTCGCCACGTTCGGTCGCTTCGTGGAGTTGGGCAAGATAGACGCCCTCTCTCATGCACGATTGGACATGTCAGTCTTCAATCGGCACGTCTCAATCACGTCCGTGGACTTGGTTGCCCTCAGGGACCGCAAGCCCCAGGAGGCCGCCGCACTGCACTCGCGAGTGCGCAAACTGGTCCAGGCGGGTGTTTTCGTCCCTCCTCCTATAGCCGTATACCCCGTTTCCCAAATAGAGGACACCTTCCGACAGATCCAAGCCGGCAAGCATATGGGCAAGTTGGTTCTCTCGTTTAGCAATGACTCGGTGGTCAAGGTACGGCCCTCTCTAGTTATAAGTGAATTGCTGACCCCAAGCAGGTTGCACCACCTGTATCACGACATAGACATCTGAAGGCGAATGCAAGCTACCTGCTCATTGGAGGTAAGGGTGGCCTGGGCCGTGAAATATGTCGCTGGATGGCCAACAATGGAGCAAAGCATCTCGTCGTTCTTTCTCCGTCAGGCGCCACAAAGCCGGCGATTCAAAGGCTCATTAACGACCTCGCCGCTGTTGGCACCGAGCTTCGTGCAATTGCCTGTGACGTTGGAAACACGGAGCAGCTTCACTCTGCGCTGTCTGATTGCCAGAATGAACTCCCTCCTATACAAGGCGTCGTCTACGCCGCGGTTTCTCTGAGAGTAAGATCCTTAGCCCGCCGGCTCAGCTGTAGTCTGATGTAGTCTGACATGATATAGGACATGGCCTTTGAACGTATGACGCGGCAGGACTATCTGCATGTCTTGGGCTCCAAAATGACGGGCCTTCAGCTGCTCCATGTAGCGCTTCAGCAGCAGCCACTGGACTTCTTCGTGATCCTCTCCTCTTATACTGGCTTGGTTGGAAACCCTGGACAGTCCAACTATGCAGCAGCTTCCACATACCAAGATGCCTTCGCTCGCTGGAGAACGGCCCAAGGATTCCCAACTAGGTCCATTGATCTCGGTATCATTCAGGACGCCGGATATGTGTTCGAGAATCCAGCATCGACAGAACATCTCCGCAAGTCGGGGATCAAGGCTGTCCCGCTAGATACCCTTCTAGCTCTATTCGAGCATTGCGTGTATTCTCCTCCTCGAGATTCCTCTTCAAGCCAGATTGCCATCGGTTGGAGCCCTGAGATGGCAGAAAATATCGACAATTCGCTGTTCTCGCAGCTGATATCTTCCAAGGCAGGCTCGCCCGACAACAGTGGCTTGCAGGGTAGTCCTGATCAGTTGCTGGAAGCGGCACTACATTCCACTAGACCACGGAACGAGGTGGTATCTCGACTTGTGACTACCATCTGCCAGTATGTTTCCAGAGTGCTGGGAGTCCCCATCGAAGACGTGGATCCGCTCCAGTCCATGTCCCGCCATGGTGGGGATTCCCTGGTGCTGGCTGAATTCAGGAACTGGCTTCAGAAAGGCGTCGGTGCTCCTATGCTAATGAACAAAGACCTGGGACAGCTTCCTCTCCGAGAACTGGCAGAGATGGCCGTGGACTGCGTCAGGGAGCAACCGACGAAAGCTATTACGCGCCAAATATCGCCGGCCAGCAACATGGATATATCTCTCCAGAGTGAGCGTTTGGTCAAGCAAGCTCCGTCTGCCGCGCTGCCTCCTTTGCCCCTGCCAACGCTTGAGGAAACCGTTCAGCGCTATCTTCAGACTGTTCGTCCGCTTGTCTCAGCCTCGGAGTTTGCAGCGACCTCCCAGAAAGCAAAGGATTTCCTGCATCCCACCGGTCCGGCCTGGAGGTTACAGAGGAAGCTCCAAGACAAGAAGGATAACCCGAAGATCCCTAACTGGCTTGATGGAATCTACGCAGAAGTGCGTTATTTGCGTGACCGGCGACCACTCGTCCCATTCAGCAGCTACTTCGGCAGCCACAAGATCCACGGCTTGGATTCATCAGATCAGGGCTCGCCTGCAGTGCGCGCTGCTATCATTTCCTGGTCAGCGTTTCGGTTCAAAACGCAGTATGAACATGGCGATGTGCCTTGCGATACTATCAACGATCAACCCATCTGCATGGACAGCTACCGATGGCTCTTCAACGTGTGCCGAGTGCCTGGTCTCAAGGAGGATGTTCCCGCCAAGTGGCCGTCTCAGGGGGTTTTGATCGCAATGAGAAACGGGCATATGTACAAGATCCCCCTTTCAGTGGACGGAAAGCCTGCCACGATCGAGCAGCTCGCCGGGGCATTCAACCAAGTCATCCGAATGGCCGACTCAAAACGCGTCTCTCGCGTTGGTGTCTTGACTAACGGCGATCGTGATGTCTGGAGCAGGGTAAGTCACTCATTGCTACTCGACCTTTGCGCATGATACTGACGGGATTGCATAGAATCGGGATACCTTGCGCGGGCTCAGCGACAATAATGCATCCTCTCTCCAGGATATCGAGAGCGCTGACTTCGTCGTCTGTCTGGACCGAGCCAGGCCGCAGACAGCGGATGAGCGTGTGTCCCATCTCTGGACCGCCACCGAGTCAAACCGCTGGCACGACAAGCCAATGCAGTTCATTGTCTTCGACAACGGCGTCTCTGGTTCTATTCTCGAACACTCCAAAGTGGACGGCATCGCCACTCGACATCTACATACTCATGTCATTCACGCAATCCAAGACCCCCCGCGCCGTCAGCCGGATGTAGCATCGAGCTTTCCGGATCCAACACCTGTCCTGATCTGTACCAACGAGGAGCTCGACGCACAGATGGAAACGATTCCCAAAGCGCTGCGCACCCGGCTCCAGAACCTCCGAGTCAAGGTTCTGGATCTTGATCAGTTCGGCACGCAGCTTAGCCGCTACCACCGCCTCAAGCCTAACGCCTTTGCCAATATGGTTGTCCAGCTGGCCTTCTATAAACTATACAATAAAGCCGTACCAACTGTTGAGCCGGTCACCATGAGCACTTACTTTCAGGGTAGCCTCGATTTCTGCCGGGTTGTAACCGACGAGGTGGTCGCCTTCTGTCAAGCCATGGAGCAGCACCCCCGCGATCCGGAGAAATGCCAGTCGTTGTTCCAAGGCGCAGTGAGGAAGCATGTCAGCCAGGTTGCTGCCGCTGTAAAGGGAGAAGGAATTGATATGCATTTCCTGGCACTGAAGGATGTGGCCCGTGAGTGTCAGGAGGTCCCCAGCCTCTTCGCAGATTCAGTGTTTGAGTATAGCCGCAGTGGCATGATCAGCATGGCGACCTTGCCCGCGTAGGTCTGTGAGATTGGAACGCATCCTATCAAGCAGGATGGATGGCGTGTTGCCTTTATATTGCAGGAGACAAGGTAAGTCTTGCGTCTCTTGGGGTTCTGATATTATAAGCCGCAAACTAATTCAATTATCAGCGCCCGATTTGTCGTCATCAGCCATAACCCCCGGCATGCAGAGCTCTGCAGATTGCTCCAACAGGCCTCGCAGGATGTTGTGTCTTTGTTGCACGCACGAAGCGCCGCCTGATGATACCGACCCTGCCATTAGCCGTCATGTATTCTCTGCCGGAAATGGGCCCGTGCTTCTAGGGAGGATTCAGAATTTATCACACTTGACAGCAGTAGTGGTTGTAGGGTGATATTTGATATATATATTTCAGACGACCCTATTCCACAGGCCCTCTCTAGATAGACATCTGCTTAGATTAGGGTTATAGACTCTAGTATCCGTGCCCAAGTTTCCAAACAATCATCATAGAAGGGAAAGCCTGCTCAATACAATTCAATTCTACATGCGCAACTTAAAAAACAACCCAATCCACTCTCCTAACAACCTGTTAGAACAACTGGAACGGACGTCTCACAGCAGCCACCTTTACCAGTGACAGCGGTGTAGTATATTCCTCCCTGTCCTCGTCCAGGTTTCTCAGCCTCCACCCAAAGTCCGACAGCAAAATGCCCATCGTCTTAGATATAGCAATGGCAAAGGTAAATTCATTGCTGGGCTGGTGTCTCAGCCAATCTTTAAGCGATAGGGGGTCGTATGCATACTTGACCAGCTCAACCTGCGAAGTCATACAGGCATCAAGCTCGGATAAAACCACATTCAGCTTCCCGAAAACATTCAGTCCTAGAACCACAGCTTTCCTCACTCTTAAAGGACACAGTAACAAAATTTAAAATCAATACCCCTTTTCATGATTTAAATATTGCGCTGCCTGCGAGCTTGCCTCGCCAGTTGACCACCGAGACCTGGACTCACTGGAGTACTCGTAGTGGGTGTAGTTTTAATTACAAGCAAACATAACTAAAATATTCGACAGGAAAGTTTGGATGAGGTACTTCTAAGGTTCCATCTAAAATGGGTTTATATCATCTGATGTGACCGAGAATAGCTACTCGTCTTGGACTCTTCCACGTTCCCCGCACATGATGCGCTCATCCTACTGCTCCCAAAGTTATCGATGATTTTCTAATCATAGTGGCCATTCCCAACTATCGTATTTATCCCGTACCATGGGAATCAGACGGTGATCACGAGAACATTGTACCAATCGGGCCATATGATGTCAGTCGCCTTGTAGTAGGTCACCTACATATAAAGGTTAATATCGAAGTTAGTCTGAGAACATCACCAAACACCTCCAAACTACTATTGGAAGCAGTTATATTCCACCATGTCGGACATCCTCCGCAGAGCTTCTGACGCGTTCCACCATCGCCAGCGTCAAGAGTCAACCGACTCGACGGCCGCACCCAAATCCCCCGACGCAGCAAAGCTTCCCGAGCAAGAGCCGCTGGATCAAAGCCCCGAGTCTGCTCAGCCTGATCCACACGGTGCAGCAACTGGTATAATTCCACTTTTTATTGTCTGTATGTACTAACACGGTAATACAGATAATGTTGCCCATCCGAAGCAACACCACCGTTGGGGCTGGGGACACCGCCAGGCAAACAAAATCGAGGCAAAACAGCAACCTAGTCAGCAACAAACAGACAATACTGACTGGGTTATGGGCTCTTAGGAGTATAATAATGCTTGACTGAGTGGCCAGTGAGCTGGCGTCGGGGTTTTTGGAGGCCAGCATTGGGATATGACGGGAGTGTTGTGCAGATAATGCATATTATCACACCACTTCGGACAACATGGACCACAAAACTCAGATATTGATCTTCTGTACTGTAATAGCCCTTGTAATTAGTCTCTTTCCTTTCCCGGCTTGGGCGAGTGATTACCAACCTGGCATGCTTACTTTTACGCTTGACGCGAAACGTTTCCGTAGCTACGGTCCGATCGGACCTCGATAGCTTCCAAATAATCCAGGGATCCGTCTCATTGAAGTTGCAAGAAAGGGCAGTGCTATGATGAGGCGATCTATCTTTACTTTGGCCGCACATAGCAGCGAAGCACGACTCTCTATCTCTTCTGCTTTGAGTAGTAAGCCGGACGACGATGATAACCAAAAGCAGGGTTCAGGCTTGGTGTCACCCTCGCCAGATGCGATTGTAGGCTCTATATACATCCACATGCCCATGCCTATAATCTGTCTGAACCGGACTTGTCGCGCCCAGCACCTCTAGATCAGCATGGGGAATACAGCGCTGCTATGTTGTATTAAGAAACCGATGATGGACCAGATGATTGAGCAGCCGCCGGACGGTAATATCTCCGACTTTCAGACACGTCTTCCTAAATCTGTTCGTTGGAGAGGCCGTAGCTATGGGGGAGACTGACTGAATACCCGCTGTTCAGACGTGTTTGCACGAGTCGGGCCGGCACGCCGCAGGAATAGCATCAAGAGGCAGATACATGTTCCCATTGCATCCAGAGCGCCCAACAACTCGCCCCGCGGAGCCGATTCCCAACGTGGTATCCCGAGCGGCAAACCCTCCAGAGAGAATATGATCCAAGGGTTTCCCATGACACCAGCCTGTCGTTTTGGCTGGCACAGATTGACAGCAGATGGGGGCGTACTGGACGACTGCTAAGATTATATGGCTTAATATATAGAGTGGAGATTACTGCTGCTAGAGGCCATTTTCCGGATACTCTTATTTTCTATTAGGTCTCTATTAATGGTACAATGAAATGGCATGAGAAAGCCAGGCCGCTCGACCATCTTGAGTAAGGAAAACAGCTAATCTAACGGATAAAGAAAAGAACGCAGCGCGCTAACAATATAAAACAAAGAAGCGAGATTCATCATGAGTAGGAAGAAACGAATCAGACCGCATTACTTGTCTCCGGCCTGTGTCTTTCATTAACGGGCTGGAGCTGGAACTCTTCCACCAGTGGATTGCTATCCGTTGTGCGCGAGCTGTTGTTGCTGCGAAAGTGTGGCAGATTCCACCCGAGATTGGAGGGGAATTGTGTCCGGGAGAAGCGGTTGTAAAGGAGGATTGAGCGGCGTTTAGAATATAGAAAACTGTTGGGGGGCAGGGTCTGGTTATAAGATAGAGGGCGCACTTCGGCTGGTCCGAGGGGGTCGACCTCCGGCGGGACATTGAAAAGTTTGTATAGAATGCTTAGGAGGGGGATGGAGAGGCCATGAATAAAGATAGAGAATATCACGAGCCAGTATATTACTGAGGTATAGGTTAGAAGAGTATTAAGACTGGGTGGCTTGGACTTACTTGGTTTGAGGGCGCGCATCAAGCGGGCCTCGATGGAACTGCCCCCCCCCGATAACAGGGAACAGGTGAGCGGCATGCTCGGCGTAGAACACAGCGCCAATTCCTGACAACGCATTAATAACAGTCCTGATAAACCAAGCATTGACCTACTGATGGGTCCAAAGTAGCCCATGAACAAGGCCTCCTTCCAGTTCTTGTAGACCTTGGGCATAAACTTGTATAGAGCAAGCGTGCTGGGTATATGCTGGAAGAGAAGAATGATAATGCTGAGGAGGATGAGCCGGGGATAGGTGATTCCTGTAGTGTCTAGCTAGTAGAAGTCATCCCACGGAATAACAGCTCCAATATACATGAATCCCCCAAAGTTAAGGAGACTATCAATACATGAATTAACTTCATCATGACAGGCTTCAGCCTCCGCCAGATAGCCCCTATCCCAGTTTAGGGCACTGCCGGCGGAGAAACAGGCGAGCAGATCGTTAGTTCCAATGCAACCGCAGGTTCCAAGGAGGAACAACTGATGATGGGATTAGCAATGAACACGAGATAAGATGTATGACAAGGACTTACTCTTAACGCAGCCGGGAATAGCATGTAGCATTCGCCGTCTATCTATTTCCTGGAACTTGTTAGCATCTTTAAATAATGGTATCGGGGACGAGCCTGTCTTACTTTTGGAGGGTGTATCGTAGCAGATACATGCTAGTATAGCCTATAGTGGCGCCATATACTATGCCTAGGATGATGTAGTAGGCCCACGTCTCGGTAATCTACATCTCTATCGCCTTTCCAGGCCCGCCGTGTATATGCCCTACATCGCCTGAGCGCGCGACATGAGCATGGGCCCAGTGGTCCTGATCCGGACCCCCCTGTGTGTACCGTAACAGGTAGGTCGCTAACATCAGGAAGGGAAATCCAAATCCATCGTTGGCACCGGCTTCAGAAGATATGATTTCGCGCATATCGCGGGCGACGTATCGGTCGGCGAAAGGGCCTTTGGCAATAGCCTGGGAGAGGATTGGGTTGGTTGAAGTGACGCAGGAGCCTATTACAAGTGCAGAGAGCTGCGCGTGGACTATGTTAGCTTTCAGTCCTGACAGCCCCGCCTGAGACTTACAAAGTTAAGCTTGGGGATCGCTAACAGAACGCAGCCGGAGGTACAGAGCCACATGAGAGTTATGTTAGGGATCAGATATAGCAGTATCTCCTTCCAGCGATGAAGCTGATACTTGGCTGGGAGCTGGAACCCCACGATCACCAACTGAACACCGATCACCACGCGACACAGTCCCTGTGTCAATTGTTAGTCTGGCCGTCAGGATGAGCAGACTTTGCTAATGTTCGCGTACTAAGGTAATCGCATCCTGTTGGCCCTGGACTGCGGAGCCCAATTCGGTAGCCTCGAGGAATTTCGCCGCATATGGGCCCAGAATGATGCCAACGACCACAGCCGGTACTGGATAATAAATAAAGATTTAACAGCCAGCGTCCAGAGCAGCATTCAGAACCACTGGGATGGAGGAATTTGTACACGCTTCACCAAGATACCACTGCGTTTTCACCTTCACCGAGATCAACGCAAAGAGAATAATGAAGGCGACTATTGGCCATATTAGATTGTTGAGCTCCAAGAGACCGGGAGAGTCCCAGGGGAAGGGTAAATACCCAGAACAGAGATCACTAGATTCAGCTCACTGACGTTCAGTGTGGGCATGGTAAGTTGTGGGCGGTTTTAGGAGCCGAGAGTGTGCTTCGAAACAGAGACCTGAAAGCCGCAGGCGTACTGGTTGTTGAGGTTTTTTGAGTGTGAGAGAGATGAAGAAAAAAGTAAAGAACGAGCTGGGCTGTATTGATTATTTTTAGTGAGTTGTATGACGGAGACAATGCTCAGAATAGGGGCTCAGCCTTGTGTTGCGTCGTAGGAGCTCCCTAAGTAATGGCGCCGAGATACCAGGCGAGTAAACCTCCCATAACTTGCTTCGCAGCCATTGAGCAAAATCAGCGGACGTCTGATCAGTTCGCAGCTTTCAGGAATGGCTTGGAAGCGCCTGAGCAGGCAGATACATAGCTCCGCCGAATGGGCCCTCAGCCTATCACGCCCAGTAAGGCGGACCGCCTGGCATCGATCAGCCAAGACGCAGGGGGAGGCCAAGAGACAGGACCAAAATACCAAAATACCAAGAGACCAAGAGACGGCCAAGAGACACACGGCTCCCCTGGCCATTCCGTCTTTCGTCCCACTGGTAGGCTCTTGCCAAGCACCCCCAAAAATGGCGCACTCCTTTCCCTTGTCGGAGACAGCGAGCGTCCGAGGTCTTGTTGTGGGAGCAACAGGGTTGGCTGACTTTCGTCTCTCTTGGCCTGTCCTTGTTCTAAATTGGTGTGATGGGGAATCCTCCAAGGGCGAAGAAACCGGTTTCAATACCCGAGGATTTCATCAGCCATGGCTGTGACTGATCACCGATACGGGCAACTCGGGCATCCCCTGGTCTTGTTGGAATGCCAATGTGAGTGACTGATGATGCGAGCAGCAGCCTTGAGGTCCTCGATAAGCTTCGCCAAATTTTCTTCAGCGGCAGGAGAGGCTATTGCATTTCCTCGATGTCGGGTTCTTACTACGAGAGACTACCCTCAGAATATTCCACCTCACCTTCCTTCCACCATCAAAGTGTTATTAAGATTTTCGACCTCCTCCGGCTTATGGCACAGTGGAGATTTACATTAACTCGGCTGTGGGGGGGAGGAAGAGTGTTTCCTGTCAGCTTCAGGCCGAGTGCCGGAGAAGGCCCTTATCCAGCGGCGAGCTACTCCACCAGGGCAGTTTGAATATATTAAGCTAGACAACCCTAGTGGTTCTACCCCTAGTCATCACTTACTATCACGCTTTCTCTTCGTGTATGATAAGGTGATTGAGGTCGACAACCCGCTTGTCCCAGTGCTTCGTATATCGTCTCCCGGGCAATCTTCGGTCGATCTTTTCGAAGTCGTTAATCGCCTGAATGGTACGCTACCGGTTTACCATCCTTAATTTTTGGTATAATGCATTCTTAGCGGGAAAGCCAATTTGGTCCATGCTGTCCTGATGGCGCTACACCGAAAACTCAAGTTCTACACAGAGGGAGACAGTATTGATACTTTCTTAGAGATGCCTCTGGAAGATTTTTGTGTCGAACATGATATGAGTAAGACCGCTGATTATTTCTATTGAGCTGACACTCGTAGACACCGCAAAAAGCGACGTCGAAAGAAATGCAGTCATCGTATGCCGATTTTTCAGTAGAGGAGCCATCGGTTATAGATAAAAACACCGCCGCGATTCTCAACGAGAACTTGGCTAGGATTACCCTTCCCCAACTGTCTAGCCAGGAGCAATTCCGCCTCGCTGATACTATTGAATGCGTGGCAACCATTGAAAAGCATAGGCGGTCGATGGACGATAACGCTGCGCGCTATCTTCTGTTTTTCCGGCAGCATATGCTGCGAAGGACCCAGGGCGTTGCGAACAAGAATACGGTTTCCTGGCGAGAGATTATCTGGGCCTGTCATAGCGGCAGTTAAGATATTCTATCCGATCTCGTATTGAAACAGTTTGGCGGCAATATGCTTTGGAAATCAGCTCGGGAAAGCGGTATATTTATGTGGTTACCGGATCCTGCTGCCATTGTGAGTGTCCTCCTGTTTTAAAATTTGTTATGCTAATAGGCAATAGCAAGCGCAATTAGAAATTATCGCCTGAAATAAGTATACAAAAGCGGAGGAAAAGAATCCGATTGATTGCTCCCTATACTATCTTGCATTGAAAAAGAAAAATATACTGCAGGACCTCTGGCGAATAGCTCATTGGCATCATGAGCAAGCCGCCACTTCACGACTCCTTGCAAATGATTTAAGAGAGCCACGATGGAAGATAACGGCGCTTAAAAATGCGTATGCCTTGCTTGGGAGGCGAAGATTCGGTAAGACTTCTGATCACCTATACGTATGTTTGCTGACCCGAATAGAATACGCTGCAACATTCTTCCTTCTCGCAGACCGGCTGCGCGATTGTGCCCATATCTTGATAAACCAGGTTGGAGATCTCCAGCTCGCGATTGCCATTACACGAGCATACGAAGGAGACAATGGACCGGTGTTAAAGGAGATCCTTAAAGAACGGATCCTCCCCCAAGTAGCAACAGATAGCAACAGATGGATGGCATCCTGGGCATTCTGGATGCTCGGGCGAGGTGACATGGCTGTCCGCTCACTCATCGTGAGTCCTAGCCATCAAATTAACTTATACACCAACCAACCATAATAACAGCCACCAGTCGAGTCACTGATCCCCTCAACGCCGTCCTCACCCGGCAGTACCCTCCAAGCAAAATCATACCTCTCCAACGACCCCGCCCTCATAGTCCTGTACAAACAACTCCGCGAGAAGACCCCCCAAACCCTTAAAGGTGCCTCACAAGTCCCCGCGCAAGCAGAGTGGGCCTTTATCCTGCGGAACGCGCGCCTCTACGATCGCATGGGCTGCGATCTTCTCTCTCTCGATCTCGTGCGTCACTAGGAATTTCTCGGCAGCGCCCCGTCCCCGAAATCCGTCACCGACATTTCGGAAGAGCTACAGGAGAATGGCGTCGATTATCGCAAAATGCTTCAGCGTCGCAGCAGTCTTGTCGTGGCGGATATGCCCATTCACCCGGTCGTTTCCCAAGACTCGGCAAGTTCTGTATCGCTGAAACCGAAGCCGCCGCCGACGGTTTTCCAAGAACCGGATCCGAATTCGTTGCTGGATAGTTTTGGGTTTTAGGTTGGTGCTTATATGATGGGTTGGTTGCATTTAGGTGTTGTTGGTTGCTTGTGTATACCTCTTGCTGTTCAGTATTGTGGGCTATGGGGGTTTCGGCGTGTATATTAGCCATAATCGATGATAATATTTGGATATAGATGATGCAGCCAGGGGGGAAGCCACCAAGATACTGACATGCTGTACGGAGCATGCATGCAGCTGCAAGGATCCTGATTCTCTCCCACTACGGAGTATATCAAGCCACATCACTCCACATCCACCATATCTCTCCTCCCATTTTCAACCACCCAAATGCCCCCTCACTAACAACCCCAGTCCTCCCCTTCCTCTACAACCTCTGACTCTGGATCTTCGCGCATATAGGTAGGTAGGGTAAGTAGTGCGTGATAAAGGGCGAGAAGCGAGGTAAGAACGAGATCCCTTTATCGCGCTACCGCCATGTATCTAGCTGAATACCGCTACTGATCAGGTGCTAAAAAGAGTACTAAGTCATGATTGTCACTGGCATCTCATACTATATCTGATATCATTGGAAAATCCACTTATGTAGATTCTTCCGCAGGGAAGTCGAGGATTTCGCCGTCTGTCACACTCTCTCCACCTTTCTGCTGTATGATCCTATCTTTATTCACCTCCTTCGCAAATCACTTGACTTTACGAAGATAGAAGCCCTTCACATGTTGTGTGACCCGAGGAGTCCCCCCTGGTCGCGAACGGTATCTGGTCGATGAAGACACGAGTCTCATGGTATCCTCGTGTTCGGTAAGACCCAGAACTCTTCTGACGGCCATATCGCCGAGCTCTTCCTTCCACCTCCGACTTTGGCACGTCCTCATTCTGTTTACACCCGTATATCGTCAGCCAAACCCGAATACGAACACGCAATAGATCTTGAGTCCCCATCACTTACTCTCCACAAGTTCTTGATCGCCCCCTGCTCCTCCTATCTGGCCCCAGTTCGTCTCCACTTCATCCTCGCTTAGCTGGGCTTTGAGGTAATTCCGGGATGCTGATGTAGTATCTACACAGAATACTCTCCTCCGATAGACCCACAAAGACCACTACTATCCAAATCTCACCGAGCATGAATGGAACAAGTTCCAATCACATACGAGTAAGTGTAACGAATGGTCCACTGTGTAATTATCGATTTGCTAATACCGGACATACCAGGCCATTGCCTTGATATGCTGCGCCAGGCAATTCAATACAATGCCGATACCTATTTGATGATATTCCGTTGGATAGAGACCGAGGACAAGCCTGTGTTCAATCCAAAGATCCCTGTAAGAAGCTGTGTCGATTTCGACCTCTTGCGAGAACCACTAAAGCCGCGGAATGTGGGGATGGGTGAAATTCACGCACTGAAGAATCCGCTGTTGAATAAGGGGTTCTAATCTTTATACAATTATCTTATGAATGCCATGTACATCGACAGTGAATTAGGGATATAAATTAAAGAAGGTGAATCGTCAATTTTGAAAAATGTAATCTAAAGTTAATTGTAGAGTTGATTTGTGTGGACGTGCGCTGATGCATATTTCGCCGAATGGTTAAAAATTTAGTGCTTGAGCACATGGTGCTAGCTATGGTAGTATGCATGGGAGCTCGCTTTAACTGAGCTTGGATCAAGTCTATGTACTTCCCAATGTGCCATCCATTCGGTTAGATCATGCCAACTTTTGCACTGGTGCTTAGTACCGAATCCCGTTACACCACCTAAAGTCTCGTTCTTCAGCTCTACAGTCAAACCTGGTTGACATATCAGTGTCTGGCGTAACAACTCGATGCACTGTCGAACGTGATGAGGTACAGACATCTCTGGGAGACCATCTAATAGGTAGCCTGTACGTGTTTTGGCTCCCGGGTGGGGACGTTTTAGTGCGCTGACCATGATCACTAACTAGTGTTACGATCATCTCCATTATTCAAGTGGTCTGCTTGCTCCGCATTGATTTGAGCTCCGAAGATATTACCTGGAACTTTGTTCCCTAATTGATCTGGACGTGTGTGGAGTTGAATGTTGGTACTATCGCCGGTAAGTCCCCTCCCTTACCGACGTCAGTGCGGGACATGACCCCTCTTTCCAGGGTCCGAAACTCACACTCATATCCTGGTCTAGCTTGTTTGCCATATCTTCGTCCAATTTATACATTTCTCCCGCTAAGGCCCAAAACGGCTAAGCTTTGGAAGTGGAAAGTTCAAAATATTGGCCAGAGGGGGCATGTTTTCTAAAATTCCACATGAGCTATATATACTGGCCCCACAATACACTAGCGATTAAGGCGAAGCTTGGTCGGTACCCCTCTTTTATGCAGTTGTAGAGATGATGATGAGTAGTGTCCTCTCTTGAGTAAACATCCTGGTTTATTTATCCGATTCAAGCCATGTATATTTAAACCCTGTCGTTATCAAAAATGACCGCATATTTGCCGATCGCTGTACCAAAATTTAATAAGGCGAAAAAAAGCCGAAGAAAGGGTGTGATGACTGCCGGAAGGAACGCATCACCTGGTGTATTACTTCCTAGCGCGAGGGCCGTCCGAGCTGAGGTCACTCCAGCCCAGCAGCGACCCTAATTGACGGGGCAAGTATTAGGCTTAATTTAGCAGCATTATTTTGGACATTGTTGTCTTCTATGAAAACGCTGAGTGACAGACGGAAGGGCGTTGCAAAGTATAGCCCTGTTTCCATAACTAACAATTGTAATAATTAGCCACTTTTTCTGGCTAACAAAGTAACTGGAAGCCAGCAAAGCTGACTGCCACTAGGCTTGCAGGTGTCTTTGTGCAAGGCCTCTAGGGCCTCCATCCATTCCTCCGAGCTTGGTACAGACGGATCAACCCCCTTTAAGTTGCCTAGACTTGCACCGCTATTCTCCAGAGCTACTAAAAATGTATCCATAACCAGCGGAATATGATTTGACTTCCACGGTTGCTTCTGGAAGTCGACTACTTCCAGCTGAGCACCCGCGCACTTCACGCGCTGATCGAGCTCCTCAAGCCACCTAAATTCAGCCCAGAAAGAGCCAACAAGTCAGTTATATGTCATTTTGTGATGGCAGTATACCTTCATTGAAGAGGGCTGGCGGAAATGCGTGGTAATGGTTTATCATACTGAAAATTGAGCCTTGCGGCTTTGCTCATCTGTCTCATCAGTTGCCGGAACTGAACTGCGGGTTCGCCTTTGACCACAATGCTCTCGAACCGAGCATCTTCCCATTGGACATAGCCCCCAGGCTCTGAGAAGTAGAAAATGGAATCAGCAACACGAGGTCTTTTTTCTTTCCTTTTCACGTATAGAGAAGACTTACTTAGCAATTTTGCGGCATGCTGGATCAGTGGATTAGGATCATCATTACGGACAACAAACGCCCACATGCGTAGATGAACCACATCAAACTTTCCTTCTAGCTCTGAGGAAACATCGTGCAGTGAATCAAGCAAATCGAACTTTGCGTTGGAAGGCCAGTATTCTGGACTCGGGAAGTGTGTGTCAGCGACATCAAATGCTGTTACCTGCGACGAGGGCAACTGATTGGCTACCTCGATGGCCCAGATTCTGTGAACAGAATATTCTACATTAGCCTTGGCACTGGCCTTCCAATAGATTTGAGTTCGCCATGATTACCCTGTGCCTGCCCCAATGTCCGCAATCGTCGTGTTATCCTTGATGGGTATATCAGGGTGAAGAAGATGATTCAAATACTGTTGCCACGCTAGATGCTGGGATCCAAGTCTTTATATGCGGCGAATACCAGTTAGTATATCTCGCTAATGTGAAGGGGCTCAGCGTCAATTTGCGTACCTGATGGCTTCGACTCGATCGCGCCTTAGTAGATAAGTGGTAGGAGGGCCAGCCATAGTGGCACAGGCGGGCTCGAAGGAAGCAATTGAAATAGATATTAGCAAGAATATGTCTATAAGAAGGCATAAGCAGGCATAATAACTACTCTGACACAAAAATACCAAGGGAAGTGATACGCTTTAAGAAGTAAAAGAACTGCGCCTAGTGGATTAAATACGTAGCCCTAGTACTTACGTATAGACCCGAGCTCTAACTACATACAGCAGATGAGGGTACAATTAATGTGAATTCTGAATGAATGGGAACGGAGGAGAAAATCTCTCTAATCCACACTCAGCCTCTCGGTGCTGGAGCTTAATACGTGCATGTACATTTAAAAGACGCGTCAACCTTGGGGGCCGTTTTAACCATCGGCCCAGTTTAGTATTAATTGCGTTGCGTCAGAAGTGTTGGGTTCTCCTAAGAAATCAATTGGATAAATCTATGGATTGGCCTCCAAATAACATAACCCCTCATCTTTAACTTCAGACAACTTCGGAGGAGCAAAAGTCTTGTAAATCTCGAGCTACTGGGCGCGCCATGCTAGCCGCCAGCCTTATGATTGACACAAAATACCATCGATCCTAGGCCGACAAGACATAAGACATATTCCTATATTGGGTTGTCGGCAGACATTGACAATTTTTTTTTTTTTTTTTTTTTTTTTTTTTTTTTTTTGCAACTGACCGGATGAGGGACGGCTTCGACTGTAACCCAAAAAATCAGGATTCCCCGGCCTACTACCCTTGCCATCTTGGTTTATTCTCACTATCCAAGACCCCGGCGCCTCTATACAGGGCTCGGTCTCGACTGAATGGACCCACGCCTCGGGGCGGCTGCTTTACACCGACTTGCTTCGCAATCAATATTATACCTAGCTATGTCATAGAGAATTATGCTGTTTGGAGTTGGCAATTTAATATCGGATACTTTGGCCTTGGTCTTGCTCGTATTCATTGTCCATCAGTTGGTTCATTGGAGCTGGTTGTGTTCTAGGGGGAAATGCATCTCTTTCGAATGCAAGCGATCCAAATCCCTCAAATAGTCATCTGGGTCAGATGATCTCTTCCCGTGACTGTTAGGTAAATCCGATGAAGACTTGAGTGAACCTGCTGCCTTTGTGGCGAATTTAACTGTATCACAGGGCATAATATGTCATGGAAACTAGAACTTGAAACATCATCAAACTAGGAATCGTAAATAATATAAGTTGGCGGTCCGCTGGTCGGCCAGGTCCGGAAACCGCACTCGGCGCCATTCTTTACCAGAATGGCACACCGGTCCGTATTACGTCCAGGTGACTGATAGATAATTCTGGAGGATTCTACCAGTAGAAATCTTTAAATAGGTGGCTCCTAAGGTGGAGGCGCAACAAGCCTTTCGCACAAATCGCCTTTTATGGACTAGTGTCTGGTCGTTCGGAGATCATTTCCATGCCAGAGCGCCGATTTAAATTGATTTGACCCCGTACCATTGCTCGAATGCCATTGAAGCCCCATCTTATCGTTGGTGAAAGCACAGGAGTGGAATTCAGTCTGTGTAGCAATTCTGCAAAGCTCATTAGGATGCAATCGTATCATCAGTAGTTCTCGGTCTTACCATTATGAGTGCTAATCTGATCATTCGAGGAGCTCATTGTGGTATAGAATTGGCCAAATGCACCTACGAGTTGTTAATCAGAAAATTGAATGCGCCCCCAGAGCGCGGTAAAAGGACTTGAAGCCCATTATATAAGAATCATGATCCATTCTCGGTTTAGAGGTAGTGTGTATTGTCTGAAGGCAAGACAATAATGCGTCACAGGTTCATTGGCGTATTCTTGACGCTCATGGTTATGGCGGTAAGATAGAAAATGTATTTGCTACGGGGGGTTTGCGCGGCTAAGAAAAATCGACAGCTTGGTGGCACCTTGCCTAAAATGTTTCTCACAGAAGACAAACAGAAAGTAAGTTGATGTATATCCTAAGCCAGTACATGTATAATACTGATACGGTCAAGATGTCAATCCCACAGCCATCAGGTAACTTACCCTGCCACCACCCTGATATTAACGTTTTATTGTCTTCGAAAGCTCGTTAACACAAGGGGCAGACTATTCGCAGGATTATTCTATTCACGGAAGAATTCACAGTCGCTGTTATCGGCAACACCGCTGGTGAGATGGCTATTTGATCTGTAGACAGGAAAAAGGTCAGAAAACCAAACCTACAGAATACGCAGAATACGCAGATCACTTTAGACTTTCTTTGGTATATTGAGGGGCATGACAAAGTTTTCATATCAAATCACCAATAGTATGAGCTATGGGAATGCTATTTACTGCGCGTTGTGCCGACCTTTTTATTGGGGTAACTTCTTAAAATGCGAGACAGAGAATGCCATACACCATTTGCATGGGCGACCAAACGGGTCTCCGGCTGTTTATTTGTCATCGGCTTATCTGATTCCTCTGCCGGATAGTCGGCAGGGGTCATATGGACGTTGTGCTGGAGGCGACTTTTCTGTACATGTAACGTATTAGCACCATAGAATATTTAGCAACGACTGGTCGATCGAAGTTCTTACCATATCCTTTTCGGTGGGAGGGGGAGCATTGGGATGAGAGTAGTAAGTCATTTGTTGGCCATTTGGCAGTTCCATTACCAACCAGCTTTTGATCGAGTAGAGGCGCCAGAAATCATTGTGGCGACGTAAAATGTTTCTGAGGCGTTTTTGAAGCTGCTCTTTCTTTGATCGACTCATGGAAGTGGCCATCTGCAATGTTCAATCAACTCGGAAGCTTTAGTTGAAGAAGTTCACTACAGATGGTGCAGCTCTAGATACCAAAGGTGGGAATAAATACAAATCTTCTCTAGTCTTCTCTGGGAAGGGCTCATTGATTTGGGAAGGAGCGTTCATCGCACAACGTTGAAAGCATGATATTAAATTTGCTGCAGGGGAACGGGCTAATTCGTTCAAGGCGTTCTTCTAGTGTTTATAAAAGCAACCCTAGGGCCCGTTAGTGGAAAATTCCACAAAAACAGCGACGGCCGCTACGATGCAGCCACAGAAGGAAATCAACCCTACCTACTGTTTCATTGTATAAATCACGTGGATCTTGAAGAGCACTTGGCAAATTATGGAATACAAATAGTGGCTAAGAATCTACATGTCAAGTTATAATATTATGATTCTGATGGACGTGTCATGCTAAGTGGGTGGCGATGCGGTAGTACATTATAAAACCGGGAATAGCATCATATGGCTCCTTTAGATACATATCCCTATGTAGGTATACTGTCTGATCTATCAACGGCTTAAAATTGAAGACCAGCCATTGATCCTCGAATTAGACAATAACTGACCCAGAAGCAGATATAGGGAGTTCATTGATTATACTGTATCGAACTTAGATTTGAAGTATACGGATCTTGAGTTTCCTCCAAACCTCTACCATTATCCAAACTGGCAAGTTCCCTCTCCTTAGCTGGCTTTTCCAAGTCAAATAATAAAGCAGTATCTTCTCCAATCGCTACCTCTCTGAATACCTTGAATCCATTGTTAAAGAGAACTTTGCAGCTTCTCAAGTTGGACTTCTTGCAACCAGAGAATAGTCGCTCCGATTGAAGGGATTCTTTCCTTGGAAGGCTCCACCACGCTTCAACAAGCCCAGCGACAGCTTCGCTCGCATAGCCTTTTCCCCACGTATCAGGGTGAGTACAGTACCCTATAGAAGGGGCTGGATGAAGGGCATTGATTCCAAGTGCTCCTATTACAGGTTGATTTGGATCATTTGCAATGACAATGGCGAACGAAAATTGCAGTCCAATAGTCCCGTTTGCGTCGGGCGTCTGAAATGTCTTCTGGGCAATGGAGTCTCTTGTTTCTTGAACATCTCTATGTGCAATTTGAGGCCAGCTAGGTTTTCAAATCAGGTTTTTAGCTATCTCCTTTCCCAGTCCAAAGCAGACAATTATTGATGACACTTACAGCCATTCCGCAACATCTTGTCTGCTTCTATGCTGAAAGAGGGCTTCCGCATCCAGCACTGACAGTGGGCGTAGGATAAGACGTTTCGTAAAGATTGTTTTTGCGGTATGGGGTATCACTACCCTGTTGACTTGTTCTGGAAAAGATAGGTCCTCTGAGGACACCATTTTTCAAATGCACTGTCGGATCTAGGTCTTTCACAAATGATAGTGGAAGGCTGAAATGATCTGTTCTGGGCTGTGAGAACTGTGCGCCTCTATATACGACAGCGTATTGCTCGCACGTGAAACCTGGACTGGTGTAGATTTTACTATCCTAGGGTCTTATTCATTAATAGATTCTTCAACGGTTATTGGACACGGATTTAGTTTAATCTCAGTCACGATAACTTGCTATTGACCTAATCAAGACACGGACTTAAGAAGTGTTCGGCTGCCGGGGGCCGAGCAATTTCGATGGTTGATATGCCGGTATCACTAGTCTGAAAGAGGTTAGTTGTGCGCATTTGGCCCACTTGTGCTTAATGTAGGAGACTCTCGTTGGCCTACTCACAGACATAGCCTTTTCCGATCGGGTTGAAAATAGATAGAGAAAGTCGCAAATATTACATGACTAACACGTCAAATCGTAAGTTTTCCACATACATATCGTTCGTTGCATTAGAGTGGAGTACTCAATTATCGTTCACCGAGCACACGTGTACATCGTCTGGGTCTGTGGGACCATAAGTTCTGACTCGGTAGATCTGCCAATAGCTTGTGTTCCCACGTCCCCCGTGGCAAATTTTCATTTACCAGTTTACGATGGCCTCGGTATTAGAAGCTCCTCTGAGAAAATCTGTTTTCATGTATAGCCTGGGCGGGAAAAAAATCAAACTGCTTGCGTCGTGGATCTGAAGAATAAGTAAAAATTCCTGTGCTCATCTAAGTGATAATGTCAAGTACTTCCCGTAACGTGTATACAACCGGTCAATTCTAGAGCTTCTCCTTTCTCTGGCCTTTACCACGTCCACTAGATATGGGTTTCAGGACCTTGTACCAGTTCTTTTCTACTATCAAATGACTAATCCCTTTTCTTCCATCTTCCCACTTTCTTTCCATTCGCTGGAATCGATGCATTTCCTGCTGCAGCCAAGTCACACATGTCTCTGCCACAGTCTTGACTTCCTGGAACGGCATCAAGTGCCCCAGTCCAGTTAGAATCACCTCTTTAACCCTCCCCTCAGACACTCCTCCACTCCCACCGATACCCGATCCACATATCCTGACACCTTCATGGATCTCATCGATGTTCAAAAATGTGGCCTCGCCTACAATGAACAAGCATGAGGGTCGAAGGGTTTCTAAGCGTCTAAAGGTACTTCGCGGCTCTGGGCGGTACAAAGGAATATGTGCTACCAATGGATCCATATCGGCATGGGTGTCCCGTGGGACCTTGATTCGGCCCGTGGCTGGGCCACGAGCATTGAAATTCTGCCGGATTTGAGCTATAAGCTCTTGATATTTGGAGGTTGCTAGGGTGACAAGGCGCCGCTGGGTTGGGCTGGGGCGGACCGGCTGATGCAGATGGTGTTCAACATCGCGTCGCCCGCCGCCTGGTGCATCCACCACCACCGCCAGCAACTGCAGCAGGGCGGCCATCCCGATCCCATGGGCCAGACGGTGCGGGAAATCCACTCGCAGCTTTAGATAAGATAAGATAGAAATATAAAGTATAGAGAAAGAGAGCTGTATAATCTAGTAATAAATTAATCAGGATATATATAACAACCCGGGAGATGCAAGAAAATCAAAGTATGACTGTAACATTTAGTAAATTTATGCTTCCTCAAGCCTATAGAAGATAAGATATTTATATCTAAGTTAATATTATACTATTATTACGAGCTGAAAGTATACAGGACACCTTCCTAATACCTAAAATATTAGTAATTTAGCTAATATATTTAAAATATAAGTTTGTCTCTGAATATCTCCTATCCCTGTGTATGTTGACTGGAAGTGTCCAAGCACAATGTTTAAGTTCCTTATAGTCAAAATACTAATCGTAAATAACAGGCTTCAGGGTGCTAAATAAAGATATATAGACTTTTATATCCGCTATTTTGTCGCATATACCTGCGTCTCGCCATAGCTCTTGGACGTTGGCCCCCTAGTATCACCCCGCTTGTCAAACTTCATCAAGCATTAATAACCTATTCTTACTTAATTATATATTATGGCCCGGCATTTCTACATCTTTTGTGTTAGTAGTCCAGGCTATGGCCGTACCGAGCACAGACTATGGACCTTATCCTGTATGGTTATCTACTATCGCAAATACCATAGGTCTTTATTCTAGCGGTGTTCTCACAGAGTGATTAGTATCCGAAGAAATAATTCCCAGCGGTTGATTTACGTTAGACAATGATTCTCTCATTTATTACAATTAGCCAGATAGATATCAACCTCAAACTCCCACCCGAGAGCTATACGGTATAGAAATGGGGCTCAGCATACGGGACGTATTTGGTCAGTACCGAAACATGTCAACCAGGTGATCGATACCAGCCGTATAAGGCCAAAGGAAGCCTTTAATGGCCGCTTATTCGGCACCCTGGGATGCTATGTCTAGGACCAAAGAGCTTGGTCCGGTAAAACCAGACACAAGAGGATGCCGAAATGCTCAATCAAGTACCGCTTATTGGTCAAATTGATAGACTTTCCAGGCAGCAACATTTTGTGCAAGGCTTCCGGCTTTGTTCTGCCAAGCGGGCCGGTATTTGGAATGATTGACTATGTAGCCAATGTCCATACAAAATGGCGAGCTAGCGGAGATTATAGTCCACAGCTGAGTGGGAGGCTGAGCCAGTCGGGCGAGGCAGGCGGGTGCAGGATGAGTGGCTCACCCTGTCTCGCGTGCACTTTGCACTCCTGGTAGATCTTTACGGCCTCCATCAATATGGCTGCATTCCAGGCACCTCTGACCTGGTTTACTTCGTCCGTAGACCCCACTTCCTCTTTTCACTTCGAATCACATCCATTTTTCCTTCTCTGAAGCTATTTTATTGATATTTCTTGCTCCCTGCCACTGGTCACTTTCCACGGCAACAACAATTATGTACTATGTAAATAATTCATTTCCTGAACATACATTCAATCTTCTCCAAACATCGTACATATATTATTGCCAGTCCTTGTACCATACCCAAGCTCATTTGAGTCCCTCTTCAGTCTGAGATACTACCAGTAGAGGGTGGGGCGTTACTTGCCCCCTGGCACTGGCAGCTCAGAAGGGATTTCTATCTGGGAATTGTTGGCCTCGTAAATAGGATTTGAGCCATGAGGTTCGGGAGCAACGAACATAAATGTGTCACTCAGGAGCTGTCACAGGCTTTTGCACTGGCAAGCCCTCGTATTTTGCCCTTGATTTCCTCCTCCCCCACAAGAAACCTGCGCCTAGCAATACGACAGAGAGAACCCCCAGAGAAACGCCTACACCTACTCCGACTGCAACAATTTCGTGATTGTCCCCTGCTGAGCCCCCTGTGGTTGCTGCAGTGACGGTAGCCACGCTGGACTCGTTTCCTATGGTGACTATCGTCTCTGCAAGTGAAAATTCCCCAACCGCTGTGCAACAGCTGTCTGTCAAGCCACAGCAATATGTCCCGTCGTTGCATTTGGAAAGCCGCGCGGTTCCATTTGAAGACCCTCCGTTCTGTAGTTGAGCAATAATAAGTATATCGTATTTTTTCCGGGCCCACAACTTCTTAACCGCACTGCTAGTGACAGGCGGCGAGTAATATTTGGAATGTTGATTACTTACTGCAGAATCGCACGTTGTGTGGGACAGACAATTTGGACTATCCCAGGTTTTATCAGTGCAATAGTCCCTCCAATATTCATTTCGACTTGTCCAGTAGCATAGTCCGTTCTGAAGACACTGGTCCGGGTCCGTGTCGTTCAGTCTGCAGCACATGGAGAACTCATTCTCAGCTGAAATTCAGGGTTGGTATTTGGGATTCGTAACCTTTGTTCCATCGGATGTATAGCATGCTGCTGCCGTCTGCAAGGTATGAAGATGTAGTATAAGGACAAACAGCTCTATTATCCGATTTCTCTGGACCATTATTTGATAGGATAAGGGGAATGACTTCGGTATCTATCGATGGCACCGGATTCGTATGCAACACCAAAGGTGGTGTGAGACCTTTATGAACCCCTGGACCCTTAAATCCTCTTAGAACCCTCTACTCCAGTGCTAGACACCGAAAATCTTTTTCTATCAGATACATACATTGTATGGGGTTCGAAGGAAGTTGCCAACCAATCAAAGTTCATGTCAAGATTATGGTTCAGACACCCTCGCACAACTAACCTCATTTGGTTAGCGTTGATTAGAAATGGGTGTCCGGCGTTGCCAAGTCATTCGTGCGGAGCCAAGTATTCCGTGAGGCTCAGTCTATGCAAAGGGGGATTTCGTGTTCGCCCGATAGGATGGCTCGGCTTACCAGGCTGTTTGCAGTAGACTCTCGAGTACTGAAGCGCCTTTATCTCACTGGAATAACCCATGGTTGCACCTATAGCTTTTTCTACATAACCCGCATCCAAATCCTCGACATAGCAATGTCAGTCGGAGAAGGTTTATCTTCAGCAACCAACAACGAAGAGGGCCAGGATGTAAATAACCAGGTGCTCTTAGAGGGTGAGTGTTCGTCAGAGAGCTCGCGAGCGAAGCCGTCCCGGAAGCGATGCGCTTGGAGCTCGTGGAAATCATTCATGTTGGATTCTTGGGTTCTAGAGATTGTATCGATGATATTCTCTACCGCGTGCTTCATCGCTATCGTCGCAGTTCTCATCGCGTTTAACGGAAAAAAGCGACCGAATATCTCCTACGACCTATCCCTCAATACAATAGTTTCCATGTTGGCGACCGCGTCCAAGTCATCCTTGGTATTTGCGGTAGGTGAGGCAATCAGCCAACTAAAATGGGTTTGGTTCCAAGACCGTAAGGAACTTGTTGCAATGCAAGGTACGCAGATAACCCTCTTTATGAATAACGTAAGATGAGAGACATTTTCTAATAATATGAGTAGTGTTTGAGGATTCCAGTCGGGGGCCATTAGGTTCCATCACCCTCTTGGGGCATCACAAAGGCCGATCGGTAGTCTCTCTCGGTGCCATCATTCTGGTCCTCATGTTAGCATTCGACCCATTTATTCAGCAGATCTTGAGTTACCCGACCGAATCGATCGCAGATCAGCCTCAAACGACAAGCACAACGGGTTCTGAAAATCTTGCCTTTGCACCTCAAATCAAGTACTTCGATTCAGCCAACGTATCCAAAACCGACTGGAATGGTGCATCCTATCTTGGGGTCTGGTCCTCTGATTTTGGCATCCAACCTCAATGCCCTTCGGGCAACTGTACCTGGCCAATCTACAAGTCTCTCGCAATGTGCAATAAATGTGCTGATCTGACGTCTGTTGCAACCCTCAACTGCCCTACTCCAGAATGGAATAGTACGGGTAACGCGAGCGGTAGTTACTCGGGTAAATGTGAGGTCGTGCTTCCACAAGGGCATTCATCCGCAACTACTGTCACCCTCAATGTTGCAGACGGAACTATTTCGAATACAGATCTTCAAACAGCTATGATTTGGGAAGTTTACAATGAGGACGATAAGTACGATAATAAGACTTATCTAAACATTAATAGGCCTCAAATGGTGTTGGCTGAAGCCTCTCTTGGTCTCGATGATGACAAGATCGCAAATCAGTCTAATATGGTACCAGGAATTTACATAGAGCACGTGACTGAATGCGCCATATCATACTGCATTCAGGATTTTGATATCTCGGTCCACAACGGTTATACTACCTTTCAAAGGGGATCGAGTGACTTTGGTCAGGAGTTGTCGCTAAATAATCCCCTAACCGGAATCACTACTTTGTGCTGGGCGCCTAGTGGAACTCCATCTGACGTGAGGATCTATACAAGTACAATCGGCAATGAATCGATTGTCATGAATACTTCGGATTTTGTTAGGGTTAGGGTTACTTAGGGGTTAGGGTTAGGGTTAGGGTTAGGGTTAGGGTTAGGGTTAGGGTT